TTTTGAGTGGTCTTGGGAATCCAGAGAGGCTGACTTCCAGTTGACTGAAAGCTAACATTGTCCCAGTTTTCAAAAGGGCAAGGAGGGCCCTGGAAACTATATGTCTGTCAGTCTCACTTCAGTGTCTGGTAAAATCATAGGGCTCCATCCTCAGCCCTGTGCTCATCAATATCTTCGTCTGTGACTTGGATGCAGGACTCAAGGGAATATTAAGTAAGTTTGCCAAGGACACCAAATTGGGAGGAGCTGTTGACTCCCTCAAGGGCAGAGAGGCATTGTAGAGAGACATTGACAAATTAGAGAGATGGGCAATCATCAGCCACGTGAAGTTTGACAAGGGCAAGTGCCAGATTCTGCACTTGGAATGGAGCAGCCCTGGCTGTGTTTATAGACTGGGGAATGAGAGGTTGGAGAGCAGCCCCATGGAAAGGAACCTGGAGTCCTGATCAGTGGCAAGTTGAACACGAGTCAGCAGTGCCCTGGCAGCCAGGAGGGACAACCTCATCCTGGGGTAAATCAGAAACATCATTGCAGCTGGGCAAGGGAGGGGATTGTCCTGCTCTGCTCTGCACTGAGGTGGCCTCAGCTTGAGCCTGCGTGCAGCTTTGGGCACCACAATATAAAAGAGATATTAAACTACTAAAATAAATCCAAAGGAGTGACACGAGGATGGCGAAGGGTCTGGAGCCCCTTATGAAGAGGGGCTGAAGTCACTTGGTTTGTTCAGTCTAGAAAAGAGGAAAGTGAGAGACCTTATTTTGGTCTTCAACATTCTCACAAGGGGAAGTGGAGGGATAGGCATTGGTCTCTTCTCTCTGGTGACCAGTGACAGGACTTGAGGAAATTACATAAGGCTGAGACAGGGGAAGTTTAGGCTGGATATCAGAAAAAGGTTTTTCACCCAGAGAGTGGTTGGGCACTGGAACAGGCTCCCCAGGGAGGTGGTGACAGCACCAAGCCTGACAGGGTTCAGGAGGTGTTTGGCAGTGCTCTCGGGCACATGGGGTGTGCCTTGTGCAGGGCCAGAAATGGAACTGAATGATCCTGATGAGTTCCTTACAACTCAGCACATACTGTGGTTCTAAGATTCTATGAACTGCAGAAAAAAAACATTCCCATTCATTATTATCCATGACAAACTACTGAATCAAGAAAGAAACTGAAGATTATTATTATGTGTGCTTGAACAAACTTGAACAAACAAATCATCTTTCCAATGGCACAGTTTGAAATAGAATCAGTAACTTGTTTCACAGCCTCCTGTGACAGCCACCAGACAGAGCTACTACTAAAATGTTCAAGGTCATTTACTTAATTGTACTTATAATATTATTGGGCATTAGCTCAAAATGATTATGCAGAAAATTATTGCTTATGTTCCCAAATTATCATTTGCTCTGAAAAGTTGTGTAGAGCAGAGAAGTACTTTCTGTGTCTGTGTGCCTTCTTCTATAAATAAATGTCTGCATTTCAGTTGCCACACAGTAAATCATTACATAAGTACAATTAAGCAGAAGCACTGAATGGTTTGTCTCAGAATGGAAAAGTACTTCCTTAGAAAACCTTTTACAGAGAGCAGATTCAGCTAGGAGTATGACTTCACAATTTTGTGTCTTGCAGGCTGACAAGGATGCACAATGATCATTCTATTTAATTTAATCATCCTTTTTATTAAATGGGTTTACATTTTTTTTCCTTAACACCTAAAAGAAAGCAAAAGTAAAACAAGAGGAAAATCTTGTTTACTGTGCAGATGCATGAGCACTAGAAGCTGCCCAGAGATGCTGTGGAGTCTCCCTCACTGGAGATATTCAAGAACTATCTGGATGCAATCCTGTGCCATGTGATCTAGAATGACCTTGACTGAGCAGGGAAGTTAGACCAGATGATCCATTGTGGTCCCTTCTAACCTTACCCATTCTGTGATTCGTGAAAATATATTTTGTAACAATTTCTGCACTGAGCTTGAGCATAACACACTTTCTTATTATAAATAAAGCCATTATCTGGAAGATAAATCAAATTATGTCAATAAGGTGCATTAATGCCAGAACTCACTTATTAAAAATATTAAGCATAAGAATCTTTTTATTATAAATAAGTGCTTTATCTGACAATTGGTTCTCTTTACAAGATTTAGCAAAACAGTCTTCTGAAATGTTTTCTCACCAAAAATCCTGACCAAATCATTTGCCATATGGAGACTGTCTTACTGTCTTCAAAATTCAGAAAGGTAGCTCAGAGGCTTTACAATTTCCCATGGCGTGGTTACAATTGTTGGCTGGTATCCTGGTATGTACATATGGGAGATGAACTGATGCACATTTTCATGTACTACTTTAAACATGTTTTAAAAAAGGAAGATAATACATTTCAATTTACAACAGAAATACTCCAAACTTGAATTGGTAGAGTCAGGGCTACTTGTCATATAAGACATTAAGAGGATCCCACTAGGTGTGCTGAGTGATTGACCATGTCTAGTCTTTAAAAAGACATAGATTAACTCAGCTGTACTCTCTGGGGCCTAATGGTTTGGCAGACTGATGATGCTGCAACAAGCTCAGACATAAGGTAATTGCCTCTTTCTCTTTTTTTTTTTTTTTTTCACATGCATATCAGCACTTACATGTTAAGTAATGTACTACTAATAATCTATCCTTTTCTCCCAGAGATAAGATAATGTGACCAGGTATAAGTTTAGAAGGGACCTTTAAAAATCCTTTAGTCCCCTGCCATGGCATGGGTGTTTTTCTCTAGATTAGGTTTTTCAAAGCCTTATCCAGCATGGCCTTGAACACTTCCAAGGATGGGGCGTACACAAATTCTCTGGCTGATCTGTTTCAGTGTCTTGCCGTCCTCATTGTAAACATTTTCTTCCTTATGTTCAATCTAACCCTGCCTTCTTTCAGTTTAAACCCATTGTTCCTTTTCTGTCACTACAGGCCCTGGTAAAAAGACCTTCTCTATCTTTCTCTTCTCCAGGCTGAACAATTCCAACTCTCTCAGCCTGTCCCCAGAGGACAGATGTTCTACCCCACTGACTGTTTTCACGGCCCCCCCTCTGGACCTGCTCTAACAGATCCATGCCTTGCTTATACTGAGGGCCACAGAGCTCCTCTGTTGATCCAACCAAATAAAGGATGACATTTTTATCACTGTCTTCTTATTCAAACAGTCTGTGATAACTGGCACATTCAGGTGTCTTTTACAAACTCCGAGCAAGACAGTTCAATCTTAGATTCTATCCAAGTCAATGAGATGATGCAGAGAGGCAAACTCACAAAGCCAGATGGGCTACACAGTTGGGGTGAGCTCTAAGAAAGATGCGTGTGAAAATTAGTTAGAACAGTGTTGCACAAACCATATCATTCAGAAACTCATGTGAATGCACTCAATTTATAAAGCTGGTGTTCTTCCGCATTCACAATGCACTTATAGGAGCAGCCATTTAAATCTAACTTTTTGTTTAGCTCGGCTATGCTGCATTTTATGCTCATGCTTCATTTTATGCCACAGAATAGTCTTGGGATGGAACATTTAACTTTTTTTTTTTTTTAAAGATGCTTGAATTTTGCATTTTTATTTCCAAGTCTTTTGTACTAGTCTAAGTACCAGAAATGAAAGGAAACTCCAGTTCACATGACTCCCAGTGTTGTAACTTGAAGGAAAAACAAAATATACTTTCAACATACTTTTCAATGTTGGTAGTATACTTTTTTGAATATATTAAATTGTGTGCATGCATAAAGGCATTGCATATGTAGATACAAATTTTCTATGTATAGGAGATCACAGATACAAACACAAATGTTAATGTATTTCTCCTAGTGTCACAGTTTTGCAATATGGATGGTAGCACAGGGATAAAAGCAAAATCCTTCTATATTCTGACTGATTGCTGGTATATGAAGGAACAGTTAAGAAAGAGACTCTGCAGAAGTAGGTTTAGATTAGTTATTAGGAAATCTTCACTGTGAGGCTTGTGAGACACTAGAACACATTGTCCAGAGAAGTTGTGTATGCCTCATCCCTGGAAGGGCTCAAGACCAGGTTGGAATGGAGTTTAAAGCAATCTGGTCTACTGAAAGGTGCCCCTGCCAGGCTTGAATCAGATGATCTTTAAGCTTGCTTCCAACAGAAACCATTATATCATTCTAAGATTCCCTTGTTTTCATCTGACATGAAAATATGGTTGGATATGGGCAAATTTTCCAACTCCTGTCCCTGAAATGTATACAAGCTTTACGTGAATTAATAGTCAATTTTGGCAGTAATATTGTTATGAAAATCTAACAAAAGGTATTCTGAATGATGGTTTTCAGGGTTGCTGTTATTCTTTCTCTGTAGAAGAACAAATGGCAAAACTCCCACAAACTCAGAGTATGAAATAAGGATTTAATTATACAGCATTGTACCAGAGAGTACAGGCATACTAAGTCTGTGTATAAGGGGTAGCTGAATAAGGAAAGAAATAGATTTAAAATATTAATTAAGGTCTAAATTCTTATTTTCATACTGGAGCCCTCAGTCCATTATTTCTTACCGTATCATCATACCTCACTTTCAGGTTGGATTATAAATTCTAGGAGGCATGTACATAACAGATAAGCATTCTAGCAACAGTAGTTAACAATAATGAGTAACTATAATGAATCATGCCTCTGTTGGGGAGGTCCAATGTATCCAGGAAAGTTATGGCTAACATTTAGACTAGCTCTAAATTCCCCTAATACAGAATTCCTAAAGCTGACTCCACTTGAAAGTTCATATTGTTGTGCAGCTAATGATCATATTGAATTTTAACTTTTGGAGACTGTTACCAGTTGATTATTGCAGGTGTCCCAAAAGCACAGTAAGTAAATGTAAAATGTTACAGAAGAAAATTAAACCACGATAAGATTTCTATTTGCTTTATGAGTGATGTAGTTTAGAGCCCTTTTCAGTTTGTTTTTTTTTCACATGCACATCAAAGCAAGTAAATGAAATTAAATACTCACTCCTGTTATGTAACGAGGTCTATACTGGATGGTTCCAAATAAGCCAAGTATGACTATAATAATGTGTATAAAATTTGCGAGGATGGGTGCCCACTGATAACCAAGGAAGTCAAATATCTGCCTCTCGAGCACAGAAACCTATGATTAAAAAGCAAAAGCATAAATAGATTAGAACAAACTAGAAAACATATATGAAGATATTTCCCCTTCCCATACCTAAGACAATTGCTCTGAGTTTAAAAAATACCTGTAAGCCATAAAACGAATTTGAAAAGTTTCAACATCTTGTTTTAACAAAAGCTGCACTTCTCACCGGTTACTGAGTTATATTCTACCAGGATACAAAACTAGAATGGTACATTTGCAGAAGCAGAAACACACTTTGCTATATGTACTAGCAAATGCTGTAATGTTTTAGGGTATCAGTGCTGCAAATACGGGATAGGTTTATGACTTATCAGCTACATTGTTTCCCTTCATAACACCATCCTTTAGCCTGGTCCTGTCTCTTCCACGATTTCCTCACACTGATTTTTATCTCTTCTCTCTATCCCAGCTGCTCTGTCAGTGGGATTTTACCTGTAACCAAATACATACAACTTTTGGACCTGTTCTACTGATAATGACTCTAATTTACCTTCTTCCACTGTCACAAACATCACTGGAAGTATAAACTCCCCAAGACTAGATAAATAATTTTAAAAATCAATTGAAGAACAATCCCAGGCTGATGATTACTGTTTATAAGCAACACCATTCCAAACAGATAGATCAGATATTAAAAAAAATGCCTTTCTAACAGTATCAGTAGAAATAGTTTCATAATTCCAATACGAGGTGTCCCTTAACTGGTGTTTTGACATTATGTAAAAATACAGCTGCATTCTGTAGCCCAACCCATAGATAGAACGACATGTTTTGACAAAAATAATATTTATGTTAATATTAGTTGGCAATGTAATTGTGAAATGAATTTAGACCAAAAGATCAAGGAGTTTCTTTGACAGCATTCCAACAATTTCACTAACTGGAATGGTGTATTGATGAACTTCGTAAAAATGTGAATAATGAAAATAAAATAAAACATTTTTATTAGTAATAATTAAGATAACAGCAATGTAAACAGCACACAAAATAAAAGAGAAAGAAAGAGAAAGAGAAAGAGAAAGAGAAAGAGAAAGAGAAAGAGAAAGAGAAAGAGANAGAAAGAAAGAGAAAGAGAAAGAGAAAGAGAAAGAGAAAGAGAAAGAGAAAGAGAAAGAGAAAGAGAAAGAGAAAGAGAAAGAGAAAGGAAGAGAAAAAAAGTGGGTTGTTGTTTCTTGGTAGTTTCATTAAATAACAGGTGACTACTGAGTTTATGTTATGTTGTGGATGAAGTGAATTAGATTTATGCGCCAACAATTCTGCTCATTTAAAAAATAACACCTTTTGAGATCAAGTACCAAATGAGTAATTAACTACTTCTCTTGTATGATACAGCTATGGGAGAATTTTTCAATTTTCATGCCACAGTCCACTACAAATCAACACTTTCTTTTTTGAAATTAAGTAAGAAAACTTTTCATTAAAAGACAGCCTACATTTACATGAGCATTGCAAATGCAAAAAGGCTGTTAATTATATACACTATGTACTGACACCTGTTGAACTTTGAGATGGAGACTGCCAAAATAATCCTTGGAAAGTTTGTCAGCCATGTAATTTCAAATTTGAGTGTTCAGGTTTCATGTCAAACATTTAATTTTTCTTTTCAAAAAGACCCCTTTCATGCAATGCATCCTGCTTATAACCAGTCTTAGTATTTTGACTACCATTTTATTTTACACATTTATTGAAAGAAATTCTGTTCTTACATTATCCAAAATCTTTCTGAACTGATTTGTGCTATCCTACAACTCTCCCTAGCAGAGGAAAGTCACAGAATTCCCAGAATCCCAAGACATGTCTAATGATGACAATGGGATGAGGAAATAAAAGGAAGATCAAGCTGTATTAGGAACTGTATGAAAACTCAGATTGCCTGTGCTTCTAAGTTTGTCATTAAGAAATATTTCCTTGAATACAGACACAGTAATTTATATTAAAAAAAAAAAGCCAACATGTGGTATGAGGCACTATTACATAGGTCAGTGTGAAGTCTATTAGGTGTATCAGCAAAAGACCTGTTACACCTAAGAGCTGTTAAACAGGTAACAAAGAGAAAATGCTCCCTCTGAGCACAGAGCTCTTGTTTTCAGCTGACAAAGAGTTAATGAGAACACCAAAGAAGTAGCAGAGTCTAGACTGTACTTGCTTCTAGTTTAGTAACAGGAGAGATTGAGCAAGCAAAAAACAATACATGTGAAGATGCAAATCATTCAAACAGCAGGAGATCATCCAGTTAAGTATGCCAATTATAGAGGAAAATTGCAGCATGCTAGTTAATTGTATAAAAAGTAGAAAACCTCATATCCCTGACATGACTTTTAGTCTAAAAAGAAAGCGTGCTATCATGCATCAACATTGTTTTGCTTGTCTTGATGAAAGATGCAGTTCCACCAAAACGTGTTTATGGGACTGCATTGGATAAATGGCTATTCTGTGAGAATCTTTCCTTTTCACATACCAATGTACTCTTTGTTTTTTTCCCATTACTAGCAATTCCTTCAGTACCAAGCAACCACTCTCAGATTTTGTGGGGTGAGTAAATACCAGAAAGCAGTGCATGCAAGGCAGGGACTAAATAAGAAAATAATAAATAAATAAATAAGAAAAAAGACAAGACTGTACCACTTCTGTCCATGTATATCTACCTCTCATTTGCCATAGGCAGACTTACTATTAGATTTTCTCACATCACTTCAAGGAATCAACTGTGTGTGAGGACTGTTTCATATATGAAATGGCTGCATTCTGATTGGGTATGCACAGATAAAATGCAGTGGAAATGCAACTCTTCCTTTGAAGATCACACTAACATGGCAAGGTGCCTTGTGGATTTATCATATGGAAATTACAGGACAGAACTAGATCTTCATTCCCATTTCCTGAAGATTTGAGGGTGGAAATAAAATAAAACTCATCCACAAATGAACATAAATATAATATAGACTTTCTACATGAGTTGCTTTTAAAAAAATCTTATTTGGTCTGTGTTTCTAAAAGGAGAAAAGTGGAAAGTACGACAAAGTAGTGACAAAGACTATTAAAAATAGTATTATGTAGCTTCCTCCACAGATGTCAGACTCATAAGGGATTTCCTTGCATAGCAAGAGAAAATACAAATCTGATTTTGAAAGCATTTTATTCCTTTACTTCAAAATTTTTGGTTAGACAACTGCACTTCTTCAAGTCATACCCACTAACTTAAAATGTTTAATGGTATTTCAAGGATATTACAGAGAGAAAGGAAAGAACTAACAAAGAAATATTAAAGTCAAGGAATTTTCTTTCTTCTTCCTCAGGGGTTGGTATTGGTATCGGCACGTTTAACATTTTTGTTATTGACATGGCCAGTGGGGTTTTTCACACCTTCAGTGAGTTCGCTGATCACACCAAGCTGTGTGGTGCAGTTGACACTCTGGAAGGAAGGGATGTCATGCAGGGGGACCTTGGCAGGCTTGAGAGGTCCATTTGTGTCAACCTCATAAAGTTCAACAAGGCCAAGAGCAAGGTTCTCCACCTGGATTGGGACAATTCCAAACCCAAATACAGACTGCAGAGAACGGATTGAGAGCTGCCCTAAGCAGATAGACTTGGATTGTTTGTGGATAAAAAGCAAAACACGAGTTGGCAATGTGCACTTGCAGCCCAGAAAGCCAGCCCATCCTAGGCTGCATCTAAACCAGTATGGCCTGCAGGGCAAGGGAAGGGATTCTATCCTTCTGCTCTGGTGAGACCTCACCTGGAGTGCTGCACCTACCTCTGGGGTCTGCAGTACAAGAAAGATGTTGGCTGGTTGGAACAAGTCCACTAAGGCCACTAAATTGGTCACAGGGCTGGAACACCTCTCCTATGAAGACAGGCTGAGAGAGTTGGGATTCTTCAGCCTGGAGAAGAGAAGGCTCCAGGGAGGCCTTAAAGTAGCCCCCCAGTAGCAAAGGGGGGCTTACGAGAAACCTGGAAAGGCATTTTTTTAACAAGTGCATGTAATGATATGACAAGGGGAAATGGCTTTAAGCTGAAAGAGGGTAGGTATAGATTAAATATTAGGAAGAAACTCTTTCTTGTGAGGGTGGCAAAGCATTGGAACAGGTTGCCCAGAGAGGCTGTGGACTCCTCAGTCTCTGGAGGTGTTCAAAGCCAGGCTGGATGAGGCTTTGAGAAACGTGGTCTAATGCAAGGTGTCCCTGCCCATGACAGGGATGTTGGAACTAGATAATTTTTAAGGTCCCTTCCAACCTAAACCATCTTGTGATTCTATAATTCTGGAAATGAGAAAAGCAAAAAGGAAAAATGGATGTTTTGGATGAAAAAGTATAGTATGGTTAGAAAAGAAAAATATGTTTTAATTCAACTCCACTCTAATAATGCAGCGAACTCAGCATGTAGTCTTATGGACAGTCAGGTTCTAATGTTAGAAAATAAATACCCACCACATTGTCTTCTTAGGCAGATTATTTGATGTATTCACTGATAAAATTACAGAAGACTTCATTTAAAGGGAATTTTATTAATGCATTATATTTTTCCTGCTAACTCTTGTAAAAATAAATACAAAATAAAATGAACCCATATGCTGTCAAATTGGCATAGCTCAGAAACTTTCCAGATTCTTTTCAGAGGCTGGTTGTTAATAGATTAACAGTGTTACTGACCTTGAGGGATCTATGAATTGAATTTCCAGAGGAAAATGAAAAGCATTTGGAGATGATTCTTAAAGTATATGATTGGACTAGAATTTCAGATAGGAACCACAAAGGAGAAACCAGTCAAAAGATGATTTATAACACAAACTCCAAAATGGAAAATGACTAACTGCCTTTGCTCAGAAAGCTCCTTGAGAAAAAATTCAACCACGACTACTTTACAATGATACAGAATCTAAACGTTGCACTGATATAAATTAAAGTTCACATAGTCAGACACACACAAGAGAATATGTACAGACCCTGCCAGCCAAGGTCCTTGGACAGCAAATACAGCACACAAGCACTCAG